TTACTAGAGTGACAGAAATGACCAAGGTGTGGTCTGTCTGAATTTTAGCCACGGATTTACCCAAGTCTCCTATTCTATCCCTGTGGATAAAATGAAGTGATGGATTTAGAGCCAGTTTAATAACTGGACACAAGAGTAGCAGATAATCAAATCTAGAGTTAAGTCTCTAGTATAATGTTAAAAGGCTCTATCTTAAGGCCTGTTTTCGTCATTATTTTTATCATCAACTTGAATGAAGGCCACATGTCAAGTGTGTCTCTTATGGATCGTGTGAAGTCAGTAATGATAGCTAATAAGGTTAATCTGGCATGTTCTGCTTGATGCTGTGGTATGGAGCTATACATACACAATGGGTAAAAGTTATAGGGAGGCTACTTTGGGGTCGGCATATGGAAAATGTTCATAATAATGAGTGCTGCTCTCAGTTGGAATGGGGATAACAAATTCCCTTATCACTGGAGGTCAGCACCTAACCATTTATCAGAATGCTATGGAAGGTATTCATGGTTGAATCCTTCTGAATCTGCAATTCTATGATTCTAATATGTTGGACAAAAAAAGTCAGGATCCCAAAAGATTTTGGTAGACTGGAATGAAGGACCAATTTGAATTAAGTCAGATGTGACACAGATAAATATAAACTCTTGCCCTTAGGTTCAGAAAATGAATTTCACAAGTAAGGATAAGGAAGCCAGCCATGGGGTCTTGAGATCAGGGATTTTCCAGTTTTTGTGTCATGGCACTCTTTGGCATTCTGGTGGAGCCTATGGATCCTTTTCTCTTAATGTTTTAAATACCTAACGTGAAAATCTGTCAAATCACAAAGAAAATTAATTATATTGAAATCATGATCTTTTTTTTTTTGGTTCACCTGAACAGCATTTGAGAGTTTCATTTGACCCCAGATTGCACATAGAATAAAGCTAATCTCTAGTCCTCCCAAAACTTCCAGAATGTGTTTTCCAAGAGAAGAGCTATAACTTTGTCACATCACTGTTTTTTTGCCCTGTGGCATATGGGTCTTCTTAGTTCTGGTGTTATATACAGAACTACATCTGGAGCTTAGGAATTGGTTACATTCTTACCTCACCCTCCTTGTATTGTGTGATTGAAGATAATTCCCATTGTTAGTAGAATGAGCTCAGCAGCACCCAAGGTGATTTAACCTAATTGGATTAAAAGGTATTTTGTCACTGCTGAACAGGATGTCTCCTTGTATTTGACACTAGATTTGAATCTAAGTTAGCGAAAATCTCCTTCACCACCACAGGTCACTAAATGATTCTCTTCAGACACTTGGTAAGTGTAGTCTTCCAGGATAGGCTAAACTTCGTGCTTTTCTCTCTCTTCTATAATAGGATTTTTAATCCTGGAAGAAGACAGGATTTTTTAGAAGTCATTTAGGTGGCCTCACCCCAGAAGTCACATCGCAGACATTATTAAGATACCGTCGTGATAAAAAGCCTAGGACACTTTGCACACTGTCTGCCACGGGCTTAATGAATCTTCAGTGATTCAGATCTCAGGTCTGTCTGTTTTCTGTTCAGTCAGTAGTGTGAGTTGAATTGAGTATCTGCCATGTGTTCAACAGTATACAGGTTAATGCAAACCGTTTCAAAGGGTTTGCAGTCTGGTTGGCAGGACAGAATTCACACACAGGACTTACCCACAAGTGGAAGATCAGTGCAAAACAGTGTGTTAAAAAAACCCTCAGTTTTGTGGCATACATTGTAAGCGCTTTAAGAGTGAATGGAGTTTCAGGAGCCGTCGGTATGGGCTTACATATTAAGGAAAAGGCTATAATGAGGAGGCAGCGTTTGAGCTGGGTCTTAAAGAGGGGGTTGGATTTGAACAGTTGGAGAAAAGATACAGTGTATTCTAGGCAATGAACATGTCCTATGTCAGAGAAGGGAGCCGTTGGAAGGCGTGTTTGGTTTATGTTGAACCAGGTTATGGAGGATATTAATGTCAGGAAGAGGATTGACTCACAAGGCCAGTAGGGAGCTATTGTGTGTGTTTTTTTAGCATGATAGTAGTATTAAGTGTGTGTTTTTAGCATGATAGTAGTATTAATTTGACTATATGCAGGTTAAGTTAGAAAGGAGGAAACCTGGTAATCTAATAGTCCTCATATATGCTGATGAGAGTATAGACTGCAGTGGTGGCAGTTGAAATGGTAAAGGGACAAATAGATACATTTGAAGGGATAGATAAACAAGATTTTGTGACAAATTAGAAAAAAGAGACAAAAAAGTAGGAAAAGTCACATGAATCAAACCTTTCTAGCTGATGACAAATTCAAAAGCTGGATAGGATCATTAGTTTGGGAGAGGGAAGATGATAGTCTCAGAGTTGGAAGGAAGCTTAGATTCCATGTCTGAGTAGGAATCTCCTTTGTGATTTCCTAGAAAATTTGACCTCTACGTAAGCCTTTCCAGGGATGGAGAACTCAGAACCTCAGTGAAGAAGCTCTGTGTGGATCTCTAATTAGAAGGGCTTGTTACCTCACCACGCAAGTAGGGATTACACCAAATATTTAGTCGATGATTTCAGTTGCAGACATTTCCAAGTGACAGCAGTAAAGTGATGATATTCCATGGAAATCTGGAAGTACTCGATTTGAGTACGGGTTAAAAGGTAAGGCTGGGGAATCTAGTTTAGGATTCACCATTTTGGAACTGGAAAGAACCTTAATATCAGTATAAAAGTGTTAGATGAAGCCTTTGGAGTGAATGAACTGTCTGAGAGAGAAAATTATTGAGTGAAGAGACCGAAAGACCATGGAGTGAACTGTGTGGGATGCTTACAGGGAGGTGACTACACAAATGGCCTCTCTCCCTTCAGTACTTACAGGATTTCACCATTTCAAATATCTGTTCCCTCTATCCACACAGATCATGACCTCTATCAAATGGCCTTCATGAGTTGTCGTGGCCAAAAAAAAAAAAAAGGCCCATCTGGTGCCGCTGCCCTCCAGCAGTGAACCTCACCTCAGGATTGTATTCTAGGCTTTTCCAACTTAATGGAACCCCAAACTCATGCTGCAGTGGCATAGCCTTGGAGAATCCAAGGGCATTTCTACACTACAATGAGACATCAGAAGATCCCAGTGCTGCCTGTAATGACAGTGCTCCTTCCAGTCATTAAGGCTTTTTGCACCTGACTTCTTTCCAAAATATTTGCTTTAGAAACAGCCATATTATGAGCATGTCAAAGGAAGGCAGAGTATTACATTGATTTTGAAGTGAAGGATCTTTGAAAAAACATGCAGTATTTGTTAAGTGAGAGTTTATTCTTGTTTGCTTAGGGTTTTATGGGAGAGAAGAAGGGGGAAGGGATAGGCATGACAATACAGTCTCTTGCTTCTGCTTTTTCTTGGCAAGCAGTTTAGTTGTACTTTAAATAAAAAAAAATTTCTTCCTGAGGGACCTGGTAAAATATATTTCATTAGTCAGCACATCACAACACTGCTACTTAGCAAGTTACTTTTTTAATTTAAAAAAAAAAAACTAACAACAAGAAATTCAGCTTTCCTTCTCCTTTCAGTTGTGGCTATAAATACAGATGAAGGGTAAAAATGGAGAATTTATGCTGTGCCGCCATAGAGTGAGTGGAAGATGGGACTGCTTCTTATCTTTATCCCTTTTCGTTTGGCTCAGGATTTTTACATCCCTCTACTCCCTAATAGGTTCTCTCAGGCCTCCCCACAAATCATTTGGTTGTGTTTGGCTCCCAGAAGAGCAAAGAGGAAAAAGAGAACCAAAGTTTCAGGGTCAGGAAGGCCCTCCCCTAAGGGCAGCAGCCCCCCACCCTGATCCCACAGTGCTGAATGCTCTGCCACCTAACGGGACCATCTTTCTGTTGTCAAGGTGTGCAGCTGTCAAGATGGGCCCAGAATCTTACTTGTTGAAGGAAGAGATTATTACAGTACCATGAAGGAAGAGGAGGGAGAAAATGAGGAGGGTTTCTGGCTCTCGCCCTTGAGCTGTAAATTCTCAAGGACTCTCTTATAAATCTCCCAGAATCACTGTGAAAAATCCACATTTTATTGGAGAGCAGTGTAGGGCTATCAAATAGTAATTTCTGAAGGTCCCCCACCCACCCCCCAGACACTCTGGGGAAAAAAAACTGCAGAATAAAACTGCGGAGTAAATCTCCATCTGAACAGTGTTGTGTTTCTTCTTTAGTACAAAGGAGGTTAGGTTTGCTTGTCCTCCCCACCGCACATCTCTCTGCTTTCCCTCTGCCTTTCTTTACTGTTCTTCTGTCTCCTCCTGTGCTCTCCTCCCATTCTCTATTTCTTACTCACCCTCCCTGTCTTATTCTTTCTCTTCTTTTCTCCTTTCCTTCCTCCTTCCCTCTTTTTTCTTCTTCCTTCTCTCCCTCCTCCCCCTTCTTTCCATTTTCCTCTCCTTCCTTCCCTTCTCCCTCCCCCCTTTTCTCCCTTTCTCCTTTCCCTCCCTCCTTCTTCCTCCCTCTTCTATCTCACTCTCTCCCTCTTTCTCTCTCCCACTCTTGCTCTTTTTTCTTCCTCCCTTTCTCTTTTCCTCTCTTCTTCTTCCTCTCTCCCTCCTTCTTTTTCTTTTTTCTCCCTTCATGCACACACACATACACACGCGCACACACACACATATGCATGCATGCATGCACGCACACATGCACACACATACTCACTACCTCTCACCCTGTGACTTTTCCTCCATGAGTAAACTTTCTTGACTCTGCCCTCTCTGAGGAAATTCACTGTAAGACACCCAGAGTTAAGTGCCTATTTTAGAAGTTGTCAATAAACAGTGGCATGGAAAAGGGGAGCTCTGGTTACCAAGGCTACAGATGAGTTTTTAAGAAACCATCTCCCTCCTCCTTCAGCCCCCAGATGGACATCTTATATAAACCCACTTGCAGGTTACATATGGTTCACGTTGCCAGACCACTTCCATTATGTCACAGACCTGATTGGGCCAGGTTGATTTGAAACCTTGTCTCATTTCTCATTCCAGAGGGCCAACTGAGAGTGGACGCTAACGTATCTGTGCATCATCCTGGGGAGCCTTTGGGAGTTAGGACCGAAGTGAAGAATCTCAACAGCATAAGATTCTTGGCCAAAGCAATAGGTAAATGTCATGTTACTCCTCAATTTATGGTTTTCCAAGTAGACTGCCTTGAAGATTCATCATACGCTGGGCAGATTTTATTTTTTTTTTTTTTGCTAACTTGGTTAAAAGGTGTCTCCTGCTTCTTTTCCCTTAGAACACAGGCTCCTCAAAAAAATAGGTATAGAACTGCTCCATCAGTCAGTCAACAGGTATTTATCAAGCCCTTTCTGTGTTTTTGTATATGTCAGGCACTGTGCTGAGAAAGGCAAAAACGTGATTCCTGCCCTCAGGGAGCTGCCATTCTAACGGGAGAGACAAACATGAAAATAACTGGATGCATATAAGATATATACAGAGGAGACTGGAGATAATCTTGGGGAGAGCATGAAAGGCCTCCTGCAGAAGATGGGATTTGAGCTGGGTCTTGAAGGGTCCCAGGGAAACCCTGAGGCAGAGGTGACAGGGCAGAGTATCCCAAGCATGGGGGATGCCAAGAGGAAAGGATGGGAGAGAGAGGATGGTGTTGGTGGACAAGCACTTAGGTCATTGAAACTCAATCCTAGAGCCAGCAGGCTATTGCAATAATCCAGGTAAAAGACAATGGCATTCTGAACTAGGGGAATGGCTGTGTGAGTGGAGAAAGGGATGTACACAAGAGATGTTGAAAAGGTAGACTCATTGTGGGGGTCTGATGAATAATAAATGCATAATGATTAAAGTAGCACAGTGTGCAAAATACACAGTCTATTTGCCAGTCACAAATGGGCACCTGCAAATTCCAAAGTGGGAGAAGGGTTTCAGTCCGTCCTGATGTGGGGGTGGTGCTTTTTCCCCAAGCCCTGGGTCAGCTTAAAAAAGGGCCCTGAGTTCCTGCCTTGGGACATCATTGTCTCTGCTGAGATGGGACAGAGAGAGAGACACTGTGTGCCTGGAGCTTTGTCCTTTTGTTTATTTTGTTAAGTGGAGACAGATAGTGAAGAAGGACCTTGAGTGGTCAGTCACCATGTCTGTGTTCAGAAAAAGGGTGCTTGAGATTCAGGGCTGGGTGAGGACAAGGGGAAATGGCCCACCTGGGGCTCCAGGGTGATATTCTCAAAGCAGTTTGGCCTCAAGAAAGAGTATTCAGAATCTTTTCGTCTGGACCCTGGAGACCTCAGTCCACGAATGTGCTGTTGTAGCCAAAATAATCAACAGAACTCTGGGCGGCATCAGAGAGAGCATTAGAAACAAAACTGAAAACATGGTCTCGGCCTCCTATCAATTCCTGGTTCATTCAGACCTGGGATTCCGTGTGTGGTTCTGGGCTATAAATGTTTAAAGAGACTTAATAGACCTGGAGGAAAAGTTCAGAGAAAAGCATTTTAAAATGATCAAGGTGGTGCAGTAGGAGTAGGGGGATGAGGACAGACAAAGAGATTGGGCTGTTGTCCCTGCAAAGTCAGAGTCTGACAGGGGAGCTGATCCAAATTATAAAATAATAAGGGATGTGGATAGGGTCAAGTTTCCTGAACAGAATGGAAACTTGAAAGAAGGAACTTTAGAGTAAATGAAGGAGAAAATCTCCATTACCCAGAAGGTGGTAAACTTATAGAACTCATTAGCCCAGGGTGTTGTAAAGGCAGAAAAATGAAGGTGGTTCCCAAAAGGGTGACATGGATTTATGGATCAGTCAGCCAGTGACAGGTATTTATTAAGCACCTACTATGTCATAGGCTCTCGACCCAGGCCCCTGCAGCAGTGAGAAATAAGGGCGAGTGATAAGCTGACAATATAGCATTGTAATGTGTTCCAAGCTCTTTCCATTCGTGATCTCATTTGAGCCTGACCATAACCCTGTGAGGTAGGTGCTATTATTTTCCCTATTTAACAGATGAGGAAACACCAAATTAGGGGACTCACCTGGCATCATACAGTTAAGTGAAATTTGATCCCAGACCATTCTGCCACCAGCGCATTGTGGAACTCTGTGCTTTTACAGATCTCAACCTCACATGAAGCTATTATTATGGGTGTAAAAAGTTATTTTGAACATTAAACAAATCCAGACCTGAGTTCACATCCCCCCTCCACCATTTAACTTTGTATTTGTCCATGGGCAAGTAAGTCACTTTACCTCCCTCGCCTCAGATTCCTTACTAGGAATACTAGATGTAGTATCCCTCTAAAATACTACCTCTGGCACCCACCTCATGGGATTTTTCTCAAACTCAAATGAGATCACATATGTAAAACATTTTGCAAACTTTAAGGAGCTATATAAATGTCAAATGTTATTTTATTTTAACGTGGGAAACCAGTAGGAACGAGGGGATGTTTCCTCATCTTCTGAGGCAGACTTTCTGTGAAGCATCCCTGCCATTGCAGAATTTTGGAACTGGCAGGGAACTGTTCCTTGGCACAGGGGCATTAGATAGGGCAGACCTTTAGTAAGGATGAGCCACCATTTGAGAGCATAGACACCTGAGTTAGATAACCCATGAGCTCCAGCTCAGGGCGCTTAGTCTTTAGGGCCTATCTAAGCCCCTCATTTTTTCCTCTTTATCCTCCCTCTTACCTTTTTGGCCAACAGCTTGCATCAGGGAGGACAAGGAAAGGAACACAGACAGACACCAAGACAGTTGCTTCTGTGTAGCTCAGATTTTTTTTTAATGGGGCTTGGCGAGAAGACCAAAGCAGTTATCAGAAGGTAGTCTGGGAAATTAAGTTCAAATTTCAGTTAACCAAGACTTACCTTTGGGCTAGAGTTGGGGGGAAGCCCATCATATGTCGTGAAATAATTAGTGCGGTAATCCTCTTCCTTGTGATACTTGGGCATAATTAAGATTTTTTTTTTAAGGTTCTTTCTAATTACTGCCTTACTGGCAGTGGAAGGTGTTAGTCAGAGAATTTCTAGTGTGATCCCACGATGGTAAATCCTTTGGTTTCTCTTAGACTATGAAATTCAGAGACAGATTGAAGAGCTTCGGAATGGAGGCAAGATTCTGAATGAAACACGAGCATTTGATGAGAAACTCGGGTGAGTTTGTGTTGAAAATCATTGAGGGGGGAAACAGTGTGGGGAGGGGGTACGCTTTTAGGGTCTGACCAAAATGAAAGTAACCCAAGTATCTGTGCTAGGAGTCCAAGTCTGGTGGGGAAATGGCCAGGCTCCCCCTCCCTAAGCTTCAGGTCCCATTGCCTCTTGATTATCAATTGGATCTTTAAAATGTATCCGTGGCCTCTGGATCCTCTGCTGATCTATTTCTTTTCTTGGTGTGTATTCCTGGTTTATGAATCCTTGTTTCCATCCCCATCTGGTACTTTGTTCCCCTCCACTCCTTTATTTTTCCCATCTAGTGATGCCTTAGCCCTCAAAGACCGTTTACTTACTCCTCTGGTTTTATGGCCTTCATCTCGTAAACCAACAACTTTGCTCTTCACCATTTTATTTATTTATTTTTTTCATTTTTATTCAGCTTACTTTAATTCCTTGTCTGGCTTCCTATTTTGAAAGGCGGGCCGTGTAAAGATTGGCCCTTGGTCAGGGGGCTAGAAATGAAGAGAGCTGAGTTCTGAGCTGGCAATTGGGGAGGAGCTGGCGGCGCTGAAGGAAGTCTTCTCTTTGACATTAACTGACCTCATTATTTCTCTGCCAGGTGCACTGTGTCCATGAGGGATAAAGAAGGAAAGCAAGACTACAGGTAGGAAACTTCTCTCCTCTCCTAATACTCCGATACATTTGGGATTTGGTCCCATTGTGTTGGACACACACAGAAGCACCAACTTCCTGATCTGCCATTAGTTCTAGAGATAACATTGGTTGTTGTGGTTGTGGTTGTGGTTGTGGTTGTTGTTGCATGATAGAGAACACAGACAGTCATCCTTCCTGTTCTCAATAGATGTGGGGCGTCCCAAAAGTCTTAGTGCGGTTCAAAACTTCGCTAAGACTTTAAGGCTTACTTGTATGTACTAAGAGGCATGGCGAAAAATAGAGAGCTGGGCCTCAGAGACAAGAAGCCTGTAGCATGTGGTTTCAAGCCCTTCCTCCACTAGATGACCCTGGGCATTTAAGCAGCCGTCAGAGCTACTGATCTGCCCTGGTAGAGGGAGCTTCCTCAGCAAGGGGAGCTCACTCCCTAAATCAGAGAAATCATAGGTCTGGGCAACAGCAACTAAGAACTGGCTAATAGGTCACTGAGTTGGTGACCTCACTAGCATAAAAGAGAATTGTTTTATTGTAGTCCAGGTTGATGAAAAACCTGCTTCCCTGTGAACTTTTTTTTTTTTTTGGTGAGGCATTCAAGATTAAGTGACTTGCCCAGTGTCACACAGCTAGTAAGCGTCAAGTGTGTGAGGCCAAATTTGAACTCAGGTCTTCCCAGCTCCAAGGCCAGAGCTCTATCCACTGTGCCACCCCCATGAACATTTAAAAGTGATTGGGACCCTGGCTCCTGGGTTCCTCCGTATTCATGTACACACTCCTCTGTCTTCGAAACCTTTTTTTTTCCCCCCACTCATGATAGCTTAATGTCGGTTCAAGCTTTTTAAATATAAATGTGCTGATCTGTGATATAATGAGTTAAAAAACCAAACAAGTGAGTCTAGGATGGTATCCAGAAAAAAACAAATAATAAGGCAAGCATATATTGTTTGGATTGTTGATTTTCCCGGGTTTTTGCCTATTGCACAGCAAATGAAGACCTAGGTTCAAACCTTTCCTTTGTGTGACTTTGGGCAAGAATCTTGACTTCTCTGGGCCTCCGTTTCCTCATCCTCAAAATGAGGGAGTTGGACCACGTGGTTTTGTTAGGCCCCTTCTGGCCCTTGACCTGTAATCCTATTAATGTGCCAGCGGCTGGTGCTGCTGCCGTCCATTGGGAAACTTAATTTTCAAAGGGTCATAGAGCTGGAAGATACCTTAGCAACTGTCTATTCCAACCTTCTGATTTTATAGATGAAAAACCAAAGCCCAGGACAGTTACAAGTGACATGTCCGGCATCACACATATAGGGGGTTCAGGAGCAGGATTCGATCCCAGATGCTCTGCCTCCAGCACCAGTCTGCTTTTTCCTATTGGGAATGGCAGTTGAGACTTAGCGGAGGGGCAAGGACAGAGATGGGGCCAGAAGCCTCGCCCCGGGGGAGCTTGTTTGTAAGCCAGAGGAGGTGACCGTTCTGATCCCAGCAGTCTTTTGGGCTGGGGGCTGCCTTCTTTCTCAGAACTATTTTGTCCTGTGATGTTGCTGCCCATTACTCTGTTGACTTTTGGTTTCTCCCCAAGCATGGCCGCACTAGCCTTCGCTCCCCAGGAGATGCCATCAAGACTGCTCAAGTTAGTACCAGAGAAGTCTCGGGCAGCCTTGAGCTGGGTCCTCTCTTTGGCTAAGACTCACAGCACCCATCAGGCATGGAGAGGGCAGGTCGCCTCAGCCTTTAATTTGTCACTTTGGAGCACCTCTTCATTCTGCATCAGCCTTGCTTTTATAAGCAGTTTGACCAGCGTGGTTGGATAGAGAGAATGAGAGAGACAAAGAGTTTTTATGTTTATCAAAGAGGGAGGGAGGGAGGGAGGGAGAGGCATACAAAGAGATGGGTACTGCTTGCAGGAAGACTTGAACCCATCATAGAATTCCACATCTTATAAGGTCAAAACCCAGTCATCACTTGTACCCAAGCTAGTGGCAGATTTTGACTTTAAAACAACAAACGCACTGATGCTGATGAGTTCCTGGGAGATAGGGAGGCCTGAGGATCCAGGATGTTTGATGGTGGTCACACATACGCAACAATACCCTTACTGTAAGATCGGGAGCTGGCCTGGACCTGTGGATTCATTGGCATGGGAACCTCCTTGGAGAGAAAACTCCCAATGCAGGCCTACAACCTCCTGCCTTAGAGAGTTGTTGGAAGCAACCAGAGATTAAGTGACGTGCCAGGATGTGTCACTTGATTCTGCCTGGGTAGAGGCAGGGCTTGCACCTGATTCTGCCTGGGTAGAGGCCTGTGCTCTATCCACTGAGTAATGCCACCTCGGTGTTCTCATTTCCCTATTGCTATTGTTATTTCTCATGAAAACTGAATCCCCAGATCAGTTGCTAAGCAGTCTCTTCCTTTGCCTAGGTTCATGCCAGAACCCAACCTCCCCCCATTGATCCTGTATGATGCTGAGTCCCTGCCTACGGCTGCAGACCCCCAGCAAGTGGTAAATATCGATTGGATTCGAGAAAGACTTCCCGAGCTCCCCAGCGTGACCAGAGGGAGGCTTGTTGAACAGTACGGGATTCTGCCAGAACACAGCTTCGCCCTATTGGTAGGTCTATTGATCAGTTGCTAAAATAAACCTGACTACATCTGGTTTCAGCAGTTGAGAAAACACTCTCTGAGGAGTCACATTAACCAGCTGTCAGCTTTCGTGTCCTTGGAGCTAGAAGCATGCCAGCAGATTTCTTAAATTTTCCTTTATGTGTTTGAGAAATCTGGGGAGTAACCCTTTTTCCCTTCTGTGAGGGCAGGAAACTGGAAAATTTCTAGCCTTGTGATTATTTCTCCACTGTAAAAATGGCCAGCTGCGAACAGTGTGCAAGCAGGCAACTTCACGTCATAGACGAGCTTCTCCCAGGTGACTAGCAAAGAAGAATATCAGCATCTAGCCAGCATTTCATGGCAGGGTCTAGTGAGATTTTAAGTCCTCAAAAGCCAACTCTTTATTTACCTGGGTGCAGGTAGAAGAAAAGATTGATTCTGATGGCCATTATGGACATTTTGGCCTATGAATATTAGAACTGAGGAAATTAGGAATCCATATAAAGGAGTTGTTCCTGGCTCCTCTAAAATTTTCCTTCTGTCCCTTTCAAAAGTCAGCTACAACTTTGGTGCTTTGTTGGATTCTGGGTGCCACTCTTGAGGAAATTGGTTAATGGCTAGAGGATGGCATCCAAGATGGCGAAGGGCCTTGAGATCATGTCATATGAGGGTTAGTCAAAGGAACTAGGACTCACTGGGGACGTAATAGCTGTGTCCAGTTATGTGAAGAGTTGTATTTGTTGTGCATGGCTCAGAGGGGAACTAGAAATAAAGGCAGAAAGCTGTAAAGAGACAGACTTAAGCTTAATGTAAAGAAAAACTTCCTGATAGAGAGCTACAAAAATGCAGTGGGAGAGTGGGGCTTCCCTGAGACTGGAGGTCCCTACGCAAACCCTGGATGGCCCATTACAAACCAGAGATGTTGCAGAAGGGAGGTTTCTTCAGACGTGTGTTGAACTAACTGGCCGCTAAGATCCTTTCCAACTCTGAGAATTGGTCTTTCTGTAATTCATCTTCTCTTTGCATCAGATGTCATAGGTGAGTGTATGTATGTACCATAGCCTTGGTGTATGTAGGGAGTTGTCACAGTGGGTTTTCTGGTTGTCTGAAAAGGGGGGAAGCATGCTTCTAGACAAATGGTTCTCCCCTTGAGAAATTGGATAGACGACATTCTTTTATTACTGCTGTGGCAAAACCTAATGAAAATCTGTACTCCCATATCTTTAATGAGTTAGTATTAAGCATTTGCAGGGTTTAAAATGAATATTTATATGCTAGGTAGATACCAGTATTCTTCTTTAGAATTACATCACACACACACACACACACACACACACACACACACACACACACACAAGCCCCCACTTCCTCATCCATTAATGAGCTGCTTTGCACAGTACTTGGAGTTTCACAGATTAAAGACACAATTTTAGCACAAGTAATTATTGTAATCATAATTTATGTAGCACCTCTTATCCTGAAGCAGCTTAAATCTCTCAAATATTTTTCAGAGATCGATTTAACTAAATTGAGTTTCTGCCAAACCTATCCTTCCCTTCCATCCTGCCCCGCCCCCCCCCCAAATTTCTGGCCAAGCTAAAATACCACTGAATAAGAGTCCTCCATTGTATTACATAGTTGCTACCTGACTGGGGTGGGAGGGAGAAGGGGAAGGATTCTTCCTCATCAGAAGCATCAGTTACTTATCTTTATTCGGCACTGCCCCAGCTGGACAAAGCAAGTCTCTTAAGATAATGGGAGACAGCTAGGAATCGTTGCATCTTTTCTTGCCTGTTCCCAGGCAAGATTGTGATTTCTGAGAATGTTATCAGTGCATGTCTTATGTCCCCTCAGTTGGCTTCTTCCTTAGGAGAAGAGAAGGGGCTTTGAAGGTTGACTCACCATTTCAAGAACGTGACAAAAACCAGTAATTCAGTCAATTCTGAATTAATTCATTCAATAATAAGTAAAGTACTTTTCTGTATGGCAAGCTTTCTACTGGTTCTAATGTTGCAAGATTGTTGTTGTTTTTTTTTAAGTCTCTGCCCCCAAGAGGCTTATGCTCCATTGGGTTATACAACGTGAACACAGAAAAGTTAGCACAACACACATACAGAATAATTTCTTGGGGGAGGGGTGGAGATCAAAATAGATCAGCATGAGAGGTGGCCCATGAGCCAAACCTCAGGGGAAAGTGAAGAGAAAGTGCATTCTAGGCTTGGGAGTTGGGAGGTGGGGGGTAGTTTATTCACCTTTAGGTACACAGACTAAATGCCTCCCACGTTCCTTGGGTCCCATGAGAGTCAGACTCTCCTCTCATAGTTTAAAAATTGTAAGTTTCTCCAGTTTTAATCCATCAAATCCCAGATTTGTGATTTGTGTCTTTTGACTTTAGAAGCATGTACTTGTTTAGGGCAGAGGGAGGGGTTGGTTTATTTACAGATACATATACATACATATATATATATATAGTTAGCACATAGTTTCATATATATAGTTAGCTCATAATGCATAAACTCTGGCTGGTGATATGGCCATCTACTGGCATTGTAAACCAAACTTCCTTAGTCTGACATTTCCACAGATATTGAGGGTGAAGTGAGAGGGGAAGGAAATTGAGTGATTCAGGCAAATTGTTTTTCCTGAAATTAGGCTATCTTTATGACTTTGCAGTCCCCAGAAGCTGAGCTACCCAGAGCATACCTGGAAAATGATATTTCCGTGGCTTTTTCTGCCCACATCAGAAACACAACAGATTGCTGAGAGGGGCAGATGCACCAATCTAATGAACCATCTTTCAATTTAAAGAGTGCCCAAGAGTATTCATTAAATAAATAGCAGTGGTAGGAGGGGTGCTTTCCAAAGCATCAGAGCTCCATGCTCTTGGCCGAGGATTGCTTCTGATTAGTCTGAGCAATATACACATTCATAGACTATTACGCTTTCCCACCCACCCACACATTGGATAAAAATTACAAGGGTCTAAACTTCAGTACTAAACTTTCATCTCTCCTTTTATCTGTGCTGTTATTGGGTTGTGTGATATGGACTGGAATATTACATTGATTGTTACATTATTTATATCGCCCTTAACATTTGCAAAATGGTTTGTCATTATTTCTGACACTGCTTATTATGGTCACATGCCAAAAATGGTAATGACTCACTATTATTCACATTAATAAAACATTCAGGGAGATGGATTTCTGTTTTCCAGAGGTCATCTCTATAAAGACCTTCTCCAGGCACCCAGAATTCTTAAAACTATTTGCAAACAGTGCTTGCCTGTTTCTCAAGCCAGGTCCATCTCTACAAATAAATCCTCCCCTGCTTCCTAGACCGAGCTCCTCAACCCAGTTGAAAACTGGGTTTCTCTCCTCTGGGTGCGTCACGAGATACCTTGTCTTATGATTAGACTGCAACTGATTTCCTTTCTTACCTCCATCCCATCCTGTTATCTTCTTCACCCAATAACCATCACTTCAGATGCAGGCATAAGGGACTTGATGTCTAGATATGCTGATAATACAACAAGGCTCTGAATTTCCAAGTCTCTGTGTACAAAGACACGCGGTAATTATTATGGTCGCATTTGTATGCTTGGAATAATCATATGCATGTGAATTATCCATGGCAAATGCTTAGGCCCAGGTGGGTTTTTACTTGAGGCTGAACTATCTCTGATAATGGATCAGTGTGTGCTTCCGGTTATGTAAACTAATTTAAATAGTAGCCCAAGAAGCACATTTTATAATTTGTATTTGTATAGCACTTCATGGAGGGCTTTCATATTTATCGTCTCATTTGCTCCTCATAGCCTGTAGGTAGAGTTAGGATTATCCCCATTTTACAGGTAAGTAAACAGACAACTTAGCAAATTGCTAATAAATGATAGAACAGGGACTCTCAGGGCCTTTCTTCAGTTTTCTGTAGTGCTTCCCACTGCCATCCTGCTGCCTCCCGACAGTGCCACATAATTAGGAATATTTAGTGGTCATCCCCACACCCCTTTATCTGCTCCCAAATTTATTCACTTTGTATGACACTTTTTTCTTTTTTAAGTTGTGTATGAATTGTTCTGTGGTTTTTTTTTTAAATCATATTATAGATATAAATGAAATCATATTTTACATTTATCAGGATGATTCATTGTCTGGGAAGCACTTTGCAGACTTAAAAATACAGTGTAAATGAGGGTTCTCGTTATTGTTTTTGTTCTTACTTAAATGCCCCCTGAGTAAGCCATAAATCCAGACTGAACAGCAATGTGGCAATGCAGATAATCGCTCTTAAGTCATCTGAGATACAGAAATTATCTTTATTTTATAGATGAAGAAATTGAAGCACGGAAAAGGCCTTAAATTCTCCTGAGGTTTTGTTTTTGTTTTCCACTTTCTGTTTACTTAAGGCCTTTGGTTCCCTTTGAAAAATGATGCCATGTAGGATTGGGTTTGTGGATTCCATGAACTCCAGTTTGTTTGTTTTAGTGAGTCCCATATATTTAAGTCGAAGTATGTTTTGAGCACCCATGAGGTGTGCTCTATTAGGTGCTTGATAGGATGTGGTAAAGCCAAAGCTTAGTCTTTTCCCTCAAGGAGAGTCGGACCTAAGAGAAATCACAGAATCAAATTACATTAGAGATTATCTTGTTGACCCCAGATTTATAAATGAGGAAGGTAAAATCTTTGGAGTCAGGCATCGTTAATTTTTGGTTTTGTATCTGGAGCTGGCACAGCGCCTTATGTATTGGTAAACTGAGGCTCTTGTCCCATTAACTGATTAGTGGTAGAACCCAGACTAGATTCAGAGTACTTAATTCCCAAATCCTGTGCTCTTTGCAGTTACTTCACAAGCTCGTCCTAAATCTGAAAGCTGTGGATGTATTTTATGAGCATTCAAAGTTAACTATCTATAAATGGGGATTATGTGCCCAGCACTGTTAAACTATCCCCTAAGTATTGCCCCCATGTGATGTAATGAACTTCTGACAGAGAGAATAAAAGTTCT